TGAAAGTAACTACAATACTACTTGTTTCTAGGACACGGAAATCATTGAACAGATTGATCGGGATGTCAAGCGCACACATCCAGACCTGCACTTTTTCTCTGGGGACGCCCCATTTGCAAAATCTAACCAGGTAATTCTAGCCTTTCTGGCTTGAGAATTTGGTACAAACCTCTGTAGATCAGCTAATAGTACATCTTGTGTTATCAGGATGCTCTGAGGAATATACTCATTGTTTTTGCCAAACTGAATCCTGGTATAAGATATGTGCAAGGGATGAATGAATTGTTGGCTCCATTGTTCTATGTATTCAGGAATGATCCCAATGAGGAAAACGCAGTAAGTGATGCCTTGTACTGCTTTGATGTTGGATTAAATTTGCATTAATTTCTTTTTTTGATGATAAGAAAATTTGCAATTTGCATTAGTTATATCTTGTAGATCTCAAGAGAACATAACAAATTAGTGACCGAAGTTTTCCTAAATAAGTTAAAGACAATGCTCTGAACTCTGTTATACTTTTCCATTCTTGATGTCAACAATCAATTTTGAGCACATTTCTTTCATTTTTTGTTGTTTGTTTGTCTGTCTTCTTTTTTTCCCGATGAGGGCTTTACTGTAGCAATACTTTGGTTAGTAACACTGATTTCCAGTTTGTCAAAACCTTTGTATCAGATATTCATATTTGTTTCATGTGAGGACTTATGTGAACATGAGAAAGTTACATTTTCCTGAAATACCAAAAACATGTCATTTGAGAGGCATGCCCAAAAGTACCTCTTGTAACTTTATGTAATTCTATTACTTTAGTCCATATATGGACTGCCTTAGTTGCAAAATGGGAGAAAAATCACGCATGGGGATGATCACATCGCTAGAAGTTACATTCATTAAAAAAAAATCACATCGTTAGAAGTTATTCTTTCAGTTTTTTTCTGGATTCAAGCTTCAATATTTCTCTCGGTTCAGCTCTGTTTATCATTTTCTATTTGCAAGCTATGCAGGCTTCTGCAGAAGCAGACACTTTCTTCTGCTTCGTGGAGCTATTAAGTGGATTTCGTGATCATTTCTGTCAGCAACTTGACAATAGTGTTGTTGGAATTCGTTCTACAATTACAAAGTTATCGCAACTTCTGAAAGAACATGATGAAGAGCTCTGGCGGCATCTTGAAATGACAACTAAAGTAAGTCTCTTTGATGCTTAACTTTAGAAGCTGCACCCGTAATACCGCTAAAAATGTCTGCTTTATTACTGTCTGATTCGAATTGTCCAATCTGCAAGTTTACACCAGCTACTGACATATATACCAATTGGATTGTTTAAAAGATGATGAATGGTATGCTAACTTATTGTTAGAAGCTTCAATGCCAACAAAATAAGTACATCAGGCTGAGCGTTTGGATTTCAACATTGATTGTTAGCTATTAAAAGAAGATGAAGCAGTTAGGGACTTGTCAACCTAATGGTTTACTTGTTTACGGCGCCTTAGTTTCGGCTGCAGGTGACTGCCTAAACCTTGGAGAAGTCACTTATAAGTTCAACATTTCCATGAACACATGTTAACCTAGTTCACTAGTAAACATTTCCTTCAAAATTAATTCAATGCTTCATTCTGCTCTATCAAAGAAAAAAAGTGCTTCATTTTGTTGCACCTTCTCGATATTGCTGACTTGACATAAGAAAAATTGTTTCAATTGTATCTCTGTAGCTTGCCCTGTATTCTTTATTGAAGATTGAGGCAGCTAGTAGCTTTACACCTATTAATAGAATTTTTCTGGCGTTGCTATCTAAAAGTACTTCGCTGCAGCCTAAGTGATCGCATGCATGTCTAGTTTTAATTTGTATGTCCTATTGGCTATGATTTTTAGGCAACTGTTTTATATTTTTTTGATGTGTGCCTGTGCGTGTGATTATGACATTTCTGTCTGTCTGTAGTTCCTTTGGAAATTGCAGCTTTTACTCTTGTACTGGCATATGAGTAATAGAATGACTTTTGACTTCTCTTGTTTTTTGCCTTATTCTGATGCCATGGTACATTATTTATATTGTGGGTGTATCGGTGGTCTTTATGTGCGATGTTGGATGTAACAGGTGAATCCACAGTTTTATGCATTCAGATGGATAACACTCCTTCTAACACAAGAATTCAACTTCGCGGACAGTCTGCTTATATGGGACACACTACTAAGTGATCCTGAAGGACCTCAGGTAAGACATCATGGAAGTGATGCACTTTCGTATCTATATAGCTTCTAAAAGTTGTTTGCATTAACTAATAGATTGTTAATTATTTTCCTTTCTACTAAGTGGGACTAAGGCGATAACAACTAGCTAGGATTAAGGCTTATTCATGTTGGTATGAATACCTTAGGCCCTCTTGCCTAGTTTGTTAAGATTTGTAGGCAAGTAGAAAATGTAGAGAATTTTTAGAGTTTGAGTACCCTATATTTTTCTTAAAGACGAATTATTTTGTATTGGAATGAAATGGATCAAAGGGCAGCCCGATGCACAAGGCATCCCGCGTTCACGTAGGGTCCAGGGAAGGGCCGCACCCCAAGGGATGTGATGTGGAAGCAGACACTAATGCAAGCATTAGTGTCTGCTTCCACGGCTCGAACCCGTGACCTACAGGACACACGGAAACAACTTTACTGCAACTAGCTAGGATTAAGGCTTATTCATGTTGGTATGAATACCTTAGGCCCTCTTGCCGAGTTTGTTAAGATTTGTAGGTAAGTAGAAAATGTAGAGAATTTTTAGAGTTTGAGTACCCTATATTTTTCTTAAAGATGAATTATTTTGTATTGGAATGAAACGGATTAAAGGGCAGCCCGGTGCAAAAGGTATCCCGCGTTCACGTAAGGGCCACACCCAAGGGATGTGATGTAGACAACCTACCCTAATGCAAGCATTAGTGGCTGCTTCCACGGCTCGAACCCGTGACCTATAGGATACACGGAGACAACTTTACTGGTGCTCCAAGGCTCCCCTTCTGGAATGAAACGGATCAAATGAAGCAAAATGGATATTGATGATTATACAACCAACTCCACCTAGTTTGTGATTGAGGCAGGGTTATTGTTGTCTGCTAGTATATTTTTTGGATTATTTCCTTTGTAATGTGTGAACATGTCCTTTGGAGAGGAGGAGTTCAAAAATCCTGGATTTGATGGGTTATCTCTCAGTTGTTGGACTCAAAAAGATGGTGATGGGGCAGTGCAGGTTGGGTCCATATCCACATGGTGCAATGCAGGGTTGGGATGGGAGAGAGCTTCTTGGGGGCAGTTTCTAATTTTCAAACAAAAGGTTTCAACTTGCAAGGACCTTATCAAAATAAAAAGGTTTCAACTTGTAAGGAATCTGCTCCCTATTATTGCATTTGCAAAGCTGGTGATTCCAGAATTCATGGGACTTTCATGCCTGCTGTATGTATCATAAAAGATCAATGCTTCATGTCTGTTTACCACACTTGTTTTATGGGAAAAGTTATGTCTGGGTTTAAGAGCACTTTTGTATATGCTACTTGCTATTAGGGGTTTTGCCTGGTGATTTTTATCATGACAAAATTGCGAGTGATTGCTACTTCTATGGGGTTTGCGGTCGTGATTTGTGGTAAAAGAACCTACTACTCGTCAGATGGGTGCAGTGTGTGCGGGGTGGTTTGCTTGAATTGTACACAGGAGGAAAAATACTGCAAGGAAAGAGTTAGAGGAGGTTATGCAAGTTGGGGATTAGAGACCATTTCCTTGGGGGTGGAATGTATGGGAAGGGATACCAGATCATGTCCCTCACTGCTTTTGTAGCCTGTCCTCATCAATAAAAACACAAAGGATTATGTGTACTTGACACTACGTGTTTTTTTATTGATATAGTAAGTGTACTTGGCTTAATTTGGTAGCTCTCTAGTATAACAAAGCCCTCGCGTGGGAAATTTAACCAGAGTATTGGTAGTTATTAGCGAGTACATTTGGTTAAAGCTTTTTTTATTACAACTCCATCATTAGTTTCTTTTGCAGCATGTTATTTTCTGAAGGTTCTATCAATTTGGATTGGGGGTCTAACTAGAGATCCATTTTCTTCACATTTTTATCACCTATTCATGGGGAATATTTATGATGCAATGGGAAGCAGTGATATCGTTCTCAAGTAGGACAAAGGGGTGGGTCCATCGAAGATCTGAACCGTGCACCACCGACCCTCGGTGGTTTTTGCGGTTATTAAAAGTAGGAATAATCAAATTTCTTTTGAACTTGCAGGAAACGTTGCTTCGTGTCTGCTGTGCTATGTTAATTATCGTGCGGAGGCGTCTGCTTGCTGGTGATTTCACCTCTAATCTGAAGCTACTGCAAAATTATCCATCTTCAAATATCAGCCACCTGCTCTATGTAGCCAATAAACTGCGTGTTAAATCAGCTGGCTGAAACTGTCAAGCGGAAAAGAAGTTTTGGTTATCCAGTCTAATTCTTTGTATTTCATGAAATTGTAATGTTAGAATGTAAATGTCTGTTAGAATCAGTTGTAGACATCTGCAGCACCCCCCCCCCCCNGAATAGAATGATGGTTTGTTCTTTTGGGTTGATGGGTAAAATAAATGTCATTTGCTATTTGAGTTTGCAGTGAGAGTTCAAAGCTGTCGGTTTGGCTTGAAAAATTTTATGGTATGTTCAAATGCATTCCTCACAAAAGCATACTCGTGATTTCAACTACATGGTGTGAAAATACACAATTTCCCATATAGAAGATGCATCTAGTAAGAGAGAATGATCACTAATTTGACTAGTGGAAAACCATGTTTTAAAAGAATGCTGAACTATCAAAGGTTAAACGAAAGCAATTCGTGCTATGCAAGAATAAAACAATGGAACTTGTGTCCCTAATTCTCTCACCCGATCGAAATTTGGAAATCATTGCAGAAATACTTTTAAGTTTAAATATTGAGTATATTTCTTTTACAATAAAAGGGTTTTAAAAGCAAATTACATGTAATTGTTTATAGTCAGAATGAATGATAACCTTAAAAAAAAGGTACTATAACGAATTAAACTACACATCAATTGGTTTCAACATGCCAGAATGGTTCATAGCTTTGTGTACTGTAAAAGAGTCACATTTCTTCATTTAACTTAATTTTGGACAAAGAGAAAAACAGAACATAGAGGTCTCAAGTCGTTGTGACAACCATCATACAGCCATTTGGAGAAGAGTTTAATTGCGTTGAGATTTGTCGTGGGACAGCCATCGATCAGTCGATGATGAGTTGCTGTCCTCTAGACTAATACTTTAACACCTTGAACAGCATCATCAGCCTATGCTCGTCTACTATATCCCGTCCTGATGGTCTCAAGAACATAACATCATTTCGAAATTCTCTTATGAGACATTGCTGCAATCACACAAAATGCTATCAGAAACAGAAGAAACAGATCATTTGAATGGAAAAGATTAGGCCATAAATTGATTCTGTTCACTACAAGTATAAGATAATCTTACATTTGTCATTCGACAAAGGTCCGTTATTCATCAGGGAAACCTAGACATCTGTTGATAAGTTTAGCAACTGGTTCTGCATCACCTGGTTGGTATGGGATGAGAGATCCTGTATCCATGTCCACGATAGTCTGATATAGAGTTTGGGGACGAGCACAGAACAAATGCTTTCTCTCGGCCAGTTCCTCTGCTAGTTCACTTTGATGGTTGTCCATTAGGTCCTCGTTGACTACAACTATCAATGGTTTGCCCAGTCGCAATGTCTCAAATATGCTCCCTGAACCTGCAGGCACCTTCAAAAGTGTAATTACATGGTCTTTTAACCCACTTTCAACAATAAAACCTCAAATTGAGCATGCATTGAGATATTTACTCTAATTATTTTTCAGACTGAAAGCAGGTTAAAAAACTCCGCTTGTGTGAGCCTGCTCACATTATCGGTTCCAAGCCCCGATAAAGGATACAAATAGAAAAAATTGAAAAAATAAATAAATATAAAAACGAGAGAACCCCACCCCCGTTGTCATCTTTCCCAATGACCCCTCCGTGCCGGCAAAATCAAATTTCAAGCCATTTCTATTCCAACTCTTCTCCAGAAAAATGGTCTTTTGTATTCTTCTTTTTCTTCACGTTGGAGCTTTCGCAGAATTCTTTTTTGAAAGATCCAAATCTGATTTTCTCCTTCTTTAGATTCACGAAACTTCACCGGAAAAATAAAGCTCTGCCGTTTTTTGAGATGTAAATCTGATTTTCTTCAGATTAAATTCGTTAATGTTGAGAGAAATAAAAACGAAACTTTGCTGGAAAAAAAAGAAGAAAGTTTCGCCGGAAATGTTATTAATCAGATTTTTCTTCTTCTTAATGTTAATGTTGTTACTTTTGAAAGATCCAAATACTATTCAAGAGAAGATATATGTAACAAGGTTTTGCTTTCTTGTTCATGTTACTTTTGGAAAACTCATAAGATTTTTGTTATCTTTTGGGCTGAGCAGATGGTGATGGGTGCAGCTTACATAGTGTTTTTGTGCTTCTGTGCGCCAGCTGTTTGGTGGTGTTGGGGCTGCTCGTTTTTGGACTTAAAGGGACTGTTGGACATGATTGTTTTGGGTGTTACAGTGAAGCTTGGTAAAGCTCACATGGTGGAAGATAAATGGAAAAGATGAGCTAACGGTGCTTGCTCCTATTCTTAGCTCTAAACTAAGGAGTAAAAATGGAGAAGTGTAGGTGTCTTCCGTGTTAATTGACAGGATATGGTACAATGAGAGATGGAGAGGTGAGAGAAAAAAGTTACTTTGTTTTTTATATTTTTTTCTATTGACTTTTATTCTTTGAGACCCACAAAAATCATCTCACGCTCTCTGAAGAGGTGGGCAACACACACTATGCCACGTCACCAAATTGTGTCTAAATGACACATTGGAGTTGTAGTTGGAGTGTTCAAATGGAACGAATTTAAGATGGAGTGTCAAAGTGAAAAGTGTGGACAACTTAAAGGGGCTCTCGATGTATTCTGCCTTATTTTTACATATAAAACCACAAAGGGCATCTAGAATTTAGACACACTCATGTTTCTGCCATCATGCAAACATATTTTCTGAATGTAAGCTAAATTTCTCAATTAGAGAAAATATAGCATAACGGCTTCCAATTTGTAAAGCATTGGCGATATCCAAGAGGCTAATTGTTTTGACAAAGGGAGAGAGGAAAGGAGAGGATTAAAAGTCAGAGGACTTAAAGGCATAGGAAAAGTACCAACAACAACAAACCAAGTGTAATCCCACAAAGTGGGGTCTGGGCATAGGAAAAGTACCAAGAGAATAAATTGACTAGATAAAGCTGAATTAGCCGTCATCCTAAATATACCTGCATGACTAATAACAAGCGAAGCTTCCTTCAAGTAGTCAGCTATGCTTGATGAAAATGTAAAATACTCCAGAACTGCAGACCCATTTTCCACGGTCGACTGAAAAGATTACAGTAAGATTTAAACAATGGGGAGATAGAGGAAGAGTCATTGGCAGGCAAGAAGAGTTGTTACATCGGGCTGAAAATGTTAAAAACAATGATATCTATGGATGTGTTTTGCAACAGAGAGATCTAAAAGAAGGCAAAAGACATTCTGCACATTGCATTAGAATGCTTAACATAGATAACCAGTCCATTGGGGAAGGAAAACTTGGCCATCAAAATAAAGTAATGAACAATGAAAACCGAGTAAACAAACATTTTGCAGTTACTAACCTAGTATTTCTATTTGCATTCGACAAGTTCGAGCCCTAACATCAAATGTGCATAAAACACATCCTAAATTCTTACCATAGACAACTAATCTGGTCCTTGGGTATAATGAGATGCTAGCACCCACAAGAACCAAAACATAGTGTCTCATAATACTGGCCCACGATATTAGCACCCATAAGAACCAAAACGTAGTGCCTTGGAATACTGGGCCAATCTATCCCTTGTATTGAACATCAAACAGAAGATGAGACTCATTCACCCATGTAAAATGACTTGAGATTCATGGGCTAAACCTACATTTTCCACACAGGCTAAAGCAACAAATCAGCGTATCTTCTCGTAAACTCAAAGGCGCATTTTGATTTGGTTTAAGCAGTGGTATCTTTTCTAAAAGGGAGTCTGTAATTTGAATAAAGGTAATTTCTTCATTATGCAAAACTAAACTGAAGGTAAACAGAGATGCCTGAGCTTGGAATTTCCAACTGAGTATATGCTCTACAATTTCTTTTCATCAAGTTACCCATGTATCCAAGCAGGTTCTCAAATATTATTGGTCTAATTTAAGTTTGACTTGTGAGATGAATCCATATTCTGTTGGCAAGAGCATCATCTATAAAACAAAGGGTAGTTATTTCCAGAAACTACTAGCAAACTAGCACTTCTAAAGTGTCACTAACTCGTAGTCCGTACCCTTAATCAGCCAACTCGGCTTCAGTTCTGAATTCTTGTTTCTCATCTCTTTTTCTTCAGATAAAAAACAAACAAGATTTTGCATACAGAAACAAGAATAGAAACCAAGCGTTGGAAATTTTAGTACTCAGTTCAAAGAGAAATGATGCCGAGTGAAATGTCACGTTACCTTGGTGGGGATGTATGATCCACGACCAATTTGGATCAGAATATTGGTGTAGCCTTTCCTGAACAATTCATTCTTAACTTCTGGAGTGTCCACAGCTCTTACTAGAGCATCAAAGCAAGTTGTCCCGACCGTCACAAAAACTAATTTCTTCTCCTTCACAGTACCACCCGTCTCACCCATTTTGATCTCTTATAAGCACTTCAAAGCTGCAACTAACACATAGAGCTATTATGTTGTTTCATTAAGGTTTCGTACTTGTTACAACAACAACAACAACAACAACATACCCAGTATTATCCCACACTATGGGGTCTGGGGAGGGTAGTGTGTACGCAGACCTTACCCCTGCCTTGTGAGGATAGAGAGGTTGTTTCCAATAGACCCTCGGCTCAAGAAAGCATAAGCACCGCATTAATGAAAATATAGACAAGAAGGGACAACACCAAAAAAGCCATATAACGGTTTTGTACTTGTTATGAATAAAATTTGAAGCCTTTCAAATTATCATCCTAAACTCCAAGAAAAATTTCAGAAAATCAAAATAGCTACCAGTTCTCCTAAAACCCAATGTTGCCAAAGGCAAAAAGCGTTAGAAAGCACTCCGGGTCTATCAGGGCTTTAAGTGCAAAGTGCAATTAAAGTGTGGGCTTTAATTAAAATAGAAGTACATATGTAGCACAAGAAAAAAGTAAAAGCTTCATTCATAATGATTTTCTCAACAAATAATATATGTTTTTGCAAATTATATCTAATGTTTAGTACCGTTCTGTCCAAGATATAACTAATGGCCAATGAGGCGCTCGCCGTAGTGCCTTGCCTACATTGAACATAGCCTAAGTGATGTGAATCGTAGCCTGAGCTTCTCTGAGCTTAGGGCTTAAGCGCGCATCAAATGAGCCTTAGACAATACTGCTAAAACCAACCACTTAATTCATATATTTATCTTTGATAGGATTTTGATAAGCTAAACACATTCCTTATACTGGAAAATGCTAATTATAACTGATACATTTACACTTTGAAATTTTTAGTTCTCTCGAGTGAGGAAATTTAACTGTCCAAACCAAGTACAAATTCAAAACCACAAAATAAAAACAAAAATTGAAAACTTAAAACAACTATTAACACCACAAGATCATAATCAAAAGAAAAATCCATTCGGATTATGAAGAGAAGAAAATTGAAGAATCAATTCAAATTGAGCAAAATCTATTTTTCAGAAAATGGAAACCTTGTTTATAAAATTACCTGAAATCAGAATGGGAATTAGGGATTTTTCTCGTATGAAAGAGAGGAAAAATTTTAAACCAGTACCTCGTATAAAATTTAACGAGGTACTTTAACTATAAATTGCAAAAAAGTACTTACTTCAGACACACCCCTGTGTTTTAAAGTTAAACAGTTACACCCCTTATCCAATGAACATTTTGCACTTACAATCCCCTTTGAGGTATATTTGTAACTAAGTATATTAAAATATAACTAAAATTTACAAAATATTATAAAATAAAGACCGTAAAGTAAAGATAAGTACAGAGAGACACTAATATATGATTAAATTTTAAACTAATGTAAATAATGAACAGAAAACCCATCTATTTATAGAAGAAAGGAAGCAGCTGCGAGGCTTTTCTAGAAGCAGCTGCGAGGCTTTTCAGGAAGCAACTGCGAGGCTTTTCTTGAGCTGCTTGTAAGCTGTCTGCATGAGCTGCTCGCAATCTGCTTGTTTAATAAGAAGTTGTTGCAAATTATTTTATTGAGTTGCTTGCAACCTACCTGCATCAGTTGCTTGTAGATAAATTCAATAGAGTACTAAACGGATAATCTTCTTCAGGAAGATTATCTATAGCGGAGTAATAAATGGACATCCACAATATAATATTTTCATAACACTCTCCCTTGGATGTTCATTAAAAGATAATGTGTCTCGTTAAAACTTTACTAGGAAAACCCCATTGGAAAAATCTTAGTGAAGGAAAAAGAGTACACATATTTTAGTAATATTCATTTATAGCTGCCTCATTAAAAACCTTACAAGAAAAAACTCATGAAAAAAACTTTAGTAAGAAAAAAAGAGTACAACGCGTATTTCACTCCCCCTGATGAAAGTATTGTCTCAAATATTTGAGTCTCTGTATTCCAATCTTGTATATCATCTTCTCAAAAGTTGAAGTTGGCAAAGATTTAGTGAACAAATCTGCTGGATTGTCACTTGAACGGATTTGTTATACATCGGTGTCACCATTTTTCTGAAGATCATGTGTGTAGAATAATTTTGGTGAAATGTTCTTCGTTCTATCTCCTTTTATAAATTCTCCCTTTAATTGGGCTATGCATGCAATATTGTTTTCATATAAAATTGTGGATCTTTTAACACATTCCAAACCACACTTTTCTTGAATAAAATGAATCGCTAATCTCAACCATATGTATTCCCTACTTGCTTCATGAATAGCTACTATCTCAACATGATTTGAAGAAGTAGCAACAATAGATTGATTTGTGGAGCGCCATGATATGACAGTACCTCCACATGTAAATACGTACCCGGTTTGAGATCAATCTTTATGGGGATCAGATAAATAACATGCATCTGCATAACCAACAATATCTGCACTACCTTTGTTAGCATAAAACAAACTCATATTAAGAGTTCCCTTTAAATATCGCATAATATGCATCCCATTCCAATGTCTCCATATAGGAGAAGAGTTATATATTGCTAGTAATTGACAAAAAATGCTATGTGAGGCCTTGTAGCATTAGCAAGATACATAAGTGCACCAATTGTACTGAGATAAGGTGTTTCATGACCAAGGAGTTCCTCGTCCTCTTCTGGAGGTTGGAGCGGGTCCTTATTCACTTCAAGTGATCGAACAACCACTGGTGTACTCAATGGGTGCGCTTTATCCATGTAAAAGCGTTTTAAGAACCATTATGTATAAGTAGATTGAAGTATAAAGATCTCGTCTGCTAAATGATCAATTTGCTGACCTAGACAAAGTTTTGTCTTTCCAAGATATTTCATCTCAAATTCTTTCTTAAGATATTCAATTAGCTTTTGGAGCTCTTCTCGAGTTCCAACAAGATTTATGTCATCAACATAAACCTCAAGTATAAAAATTCTGATGTCATTTTCTTTATAAAAATACATGGACAAATAACATCATTTATGTAACCATCTTTCAACAAATATTCACTATGGCGATTACACAGCATGCGTCATATTGCTTTAAACTGTACAAGGATCTTTGTAATCTGAATGAATACATTTTTCGAGATTTTGAATTTGTTTTAGGCATTTTAAATCCTTCAGGGATTTTCATGTAAATCTCATTATCAAGTAACCCATATAGATAAGTTGTAACCATATCCATCAGATGTATTTCAAGCCTTGGACGAAAGGCTAAACTGATGAGATATCGAAATGATATGGCATCCATAACGGGTGAATATGTTTCTTCATTATCGACTCCAGGTCGTTGTGAGAATCCTTGTGCAGCAAGGCGAGCCTTGTATCTTTCAACTTCATTTTTATCATTCCTTTTTCGCACAAAAGCCCATTTATGACCAACTGATTTTATACCAGCAGGTGTTTGGACTACTGGTCCAAAGACCTCTCTTTTAGCAAGTGCGTTCAATTCTGATTGAATTGCCCCTTGCCATTTTGTCCAATCAGATTTTTGTCGATATTCTTCGACAGATCGGGGTTCAAAATCCTTACTATCTTGCATAATGTTAAGTGCAATATTATATGCAAAAATATTATCCACCACTATTTCAGATCGATTTAAATTAATCCCACCAGCAGTAAAACTTATTAAAAGTTCCTCGCTTACTTGAGTCTCGGGTTCATTGATTTCTTCATGAATCTCAAAACTAATCAGATCTTAGGTCTCTTTAGGAGATCCCTTTATAGTATCATTTTGATCATTTGTCGATTTCTTTTTCGAGGATTTCGATTCTTAGAACCCAAAGGCCTACCATGCTTCAAGCATGCTTTAGGTGCACCAGCTCTCATGCTAGTAGATGGTCTTGCTGGCACATCAATTCATATAGGCACATTCTCTATAGGGATATGTGACTTAGTTATCCCTTTTTAAATCAGTAAATGTGTCTGGCATTTGATTTGCTATATTTTGTAAATGGATGATCTTCTAGACCTCCTGATTACATATAGGGGTACATGGATCAAAATGGGATAATGATAAAACTTTCTACACAATTTCTCTTTTGATTCCCTTTTTCTCTCCCCTAATTATGGAAAGTTAGTTTCATCAAATCGACAATCTGCAAATCGGGCAGTAAATAAATCTCCTGTCAATGGTTCAAGGTAGCGAATAATAGAGGGTGATTCAAACCCAACATATATTCCTAACCTTCTATGGCGGCCCATCTTACTACGTTGTGGTGGTGCTACTGGCGCATATACAACACATTCAAAAATTCGTAGATGGTCAATATTTGGTTCATGACCAAAAACTAATTGTGACGAAGAATATGTATTATAATGTGTCGGTCTGAGACGAATAAGTGATGTTGCATGCAAGATAGCATGGCCCCAAACAATAATGGGCAATTTTGTTTTCATAAGTAGTGGTCTTGTTATCAATTGCAGGCGTTTAATAAATGACTTTGCAAGGCCATTTTGAGTATGAACATAAGCTACAAGATGTTCAACTTTCATCCCATCTGATAGACAGTAATCATCAAAAGCTTGAGATGAGAATTCTCCAGCATTATCAAGGCGAATAGTCTTTATAAGATAATCTGGAAATTGTGCCCTTAATCGAATTATTTGGGCTAATAGCTTTGCAAACACCAGGTTGCGAGATGATAGTAGGCACACATGAGACCATCTTGAAGATACATCTATTAGAACCATAAAATATCTAAACAACCCACTTGGTGGGTGAATAGGTCAACATATATCCCCATGTGTATGCTCTAAAAAGGCAGGGGATTCAATGCCAAGCTTCATTGGTGATGGTCTAGTGATTTGTCTTAATGGATGCCCACTCGAATTTTCAATAATTTGTCTCATCATTATTGATCCAGGATGGCCCAAACGGCCATGCCAAAGCACAAAAGTATTTAAAGTAGTAAACTTCTGGTTTACGATAGAGTGTGCTTCAACTATACTAATCTTTGAATAGTACAAGCCAGAAGATAAAGTTGGTAACTTTTCTACAATGCACTTCTTGCCAAAAATATTCTTTGTAATACAAAGATATTCCATATTCATCTCATCTATCGTCTAAACATGATAACCATTTCGGTGAATATCTGTAAACCATTTCGGTGGAGAAAAATAATGCATTATATATAATAAGTTTTGTTTCCTTAGACATAAATATAGTGGCTCTTCCGGAGCCTTTTATCAAACTTATATTACGAGAAATTGTAGAAATATTTTCTTTTATGATGACCCAAAATGTCATCTTTAAATCTAATAATTAATTATGTATTCTAAGACCTCAAAAAGCACTATTCATCATTTCTCGACTTGCGTGTACAGTCCGTATAATTTTTCGAAAAGCTTTTATGTGAAAAATGGATTAAAATGTGAAATAGAGCCTTAAAACTCAATTAAGTTTACTTTGGTTAATATTTTGAGCAAATGGATCCGGATCAGTATTTTGACAATTTTGGTAGGTCCATAACATGATTTGGGACTCGGGCATATGTCCGAAATTTAATTTGGAGGTCCCTAGCTCAAGTTATGGTAATTTAACGGAAACTAGATATTTAAATGCTAAAATTTCCAAGTTTGACCACAGAGTTGACTTTTTAATATCGGAGCTGGAATCCGATTCTGAAGATTTGAATAGCTCTGTTATGTCATTTATGACTTGTGTGCCAAATTTGAAGTCATTCCGGATTCATTTAACATATTTCGGCACAAGTTTTGTAAATTAAAAAGTTTGAAACTCAAAAGTTCGAATCGAGGTGTGAATTGTAATTTCGATGTTATTTGATGTGATTTGACATCCCGAGTAAGTCCGTGTTATGTTTTAGGACTTTTTGGTATATTTGGTTGAAGTCCCGGGAGCCTCGGGTGAGTTTCGGAGGGTTAACAGATCGAATTTGGACTTAGAAGAAAATCTGAAGGTTTCTGCCATCTGATGTAATCGCACATGCAGAAGTTCCATCGCAGGTGCGAGCTCGCAGAAGCGAGCTTTCCATCGTGGATGCGGGCCTGGCCTGGCATGGGGTCTTCGCATATGTGGCCATTTTTGCGCAAAAGCGCGACTGCAGATGCAGTCCTAAGTTTCGCAGATGCGAAAATGCCTGGGCAGTGTTAAAAACGA